GGTCTGGACTTTCACCTATCTAACTCTTCTCGACATTAAGGAAGAACAGATAGGTGACCGCAATGGGAATAGGGATTGCAATCCAACAGTGTTTTTAATCCAGCTGGATTTTCGCTGGATCAACATCATTCCAGCTGGATCCAGTGCGGATGTATTTTTGGTGCAATAAAGTGCTATCTATTTATCTATCTATCCAGAAATTTATGGGTTTTTTAAAGATATAAAATATATTTTTTTAAATACTTAAGAAACTTTTATTGTTTAGACTGGTCACTATAAATNTCATCTCCCGGAGGGATAGGTTAGCTTTCGTGGACAAGCCGCGAGGCTGCAGCTCCCCATAGGCTTAAACTGCGATCGTTCCGTCACGTAATTCATTGACCTCACAACGGACCGTAAATTAGAATTATGCACCAGAACTAGGAGAGAATTTACTTATTTTATTTAGCGCGAAGACACTTTATTTAACGAGAGCGGAAAGTCAACTGGCAATTAGATCAGCAGAAGTAAAAGGTAGGCGGTGCGGGGTAGAGAGGGGTGTAACACGTGCCGGTCAACGTCGCTCTCACCGCCGAGCGATAGCGCACGTAGCAAAGTGGCAACGTCGACAACGTAGACTTTTGCGCCATTATTTAGAAAGTTAATTGAGTATTTGCGGATCCGCAGCGCTGGATCCAGCACCTGGTGCTGGATCCAACAGGCCGAAGAATGCTCTGGATCGTTTTCTATTAGCTAGTGACGGTCATCTCCCGGAGGGATAGGTTAGCTTTCGTGGACAAGCCGCGAGGCTGCAGCTCCCCATAGGCTTAAACTGCGATCGTTCCGTCACGTAATTCACTGACCTCACAACAGACCGTAAATTAGAATTATGCACCAGAACTAGGAGAGAATTTACTTATTTTATTTAGCGCGAAGACACTTCATTTAACGAGAGCGGAAAGTCAACTGGCAATTAGATCAGCAGAGGTAAAAGGTAGGCGGTGCGGGGTAGAGAGGGGTGTAGCACGTGCCGGTCAACGTCGCTCTCGCCGCCGAGCGATAGCGCACGTAGCAAAGTGGCAACGTCGACAACGTAGACTTTTGCGCCATTATTTAGAAAGTTAATTGAGTATTTGCGGATCCGCAGCGCTGGATCCAGCACCTGGTGCTGGATCCAACAGGCCGAAGAATGCTCTGGATCCAGCTGGATTGCTGGATGAGGGATCCAGCAATTACATTCCCTAAATGGAAATTTATAGGTGTACAATTTTTTCAAATTGCATCCCGATAATTTTTCCATAAACGCGATATTTACGAGCACACACTTTCCGCATAGTTTATACAATCTGTTGCCAAAATTTAAAATAAATTATCTATATCTATATCTATATCTATCTATATATAAATGGACATGTATGTCCCTATATTTTACTTTTCCGCCAAAACTACACATCGCACGTGAATGGTGTTTGTATATAGTAGTAGCCCCAAGTCTCTATTCGTGCCTAGGGGTGGTCGCGTCTCGATAGCTATAANGGCCCACCAGTGGCCGAGCATCTTCGTACCCTAAACACTGGGTAGTTCGGTCGTGGGTTCGCGCCGCGATCGGACAGGCTGGCTGCTTGGAGTTTTCCGCGTTTTCTACTTGCTAATAACGACTAAATAGGAGACCAGTTCACCATAAATGTCTCCCCGGAGGGCATTTTTTCCTCGCGCGTGCATTTAGGCCGTTCGGATACGGCTGGTCGTCGGTCGCATAGCGATCAATTACGTCATTCGGAGAAAGCGCCTAAATAGAGCTATACTCTCCATATAAATTGAAAAGAAAAAAGACTCCCCCTATAACGCGGGTTCATATAATGAGGATTCGCATATAGCAGCGAAAAAATTGCCACCGTATTCGTATAACGACGCTAAAAGACACTCGTAAAATGCGGTAAAACGTCATCGCCGACTCGTGTCGCGACAGGATTGGTCGAATCTGGACCAATAGTGGACGAGCAGCCGAACTGCTTACACGCCATGGAGGTTTTAGGTGGGTAAGTCGAGTTTATAGAGCCGGCCCTACCGTAGGACGAACGGAGCAGCCGCTCCAGGCGCTAAGTCCTAGGGGGCGCCTCAGTCGTAAAGAAAATTTAAGAGTAGAAGAGAAGGTGGTATTATGGAACCCCAATTATATTTTAGTGAATTGTAAACAAGGTATCATAACTACACCCATATTTTTTGTGCGAAAAGTACTGGTAACTAGTAAACTAAATGTTCCTAATTGGATTTTTCGCTAGTGTAATTATAAGTATGGTTTTTGAAAGCTTTTGTACAAAAAGTCCGAAAGTAGGCTTAGAGAAAATCGGGTGGTAATATGGAACCTTACTGTATATTTTCAAAAAA